TGCTCTCCCCTTGGTCCTCGCCCGCCTGGAGCCGCGGGGCCTGGATTAGCCTCTAGGTCTAGGGAGAGGGGATAGGGCTCCTGCATCACGTTAACCCGCGACGCCACTTCCCGGAGAGGTTTGGGTGCGCGGCCACACGTGGGAAGCGGCCGTCCAGGGTCTCCCGGGTGCACGTTTGCAGGTAGCGGCCGGCCCGGCTCGGCCAGCCTTCCCCGGAGGCGGGGGGACCTGCCTGAGCCGTCGGCTCGGGGCTCCGGGGCGCTCCGGGGCGCTCCGGGGCGCTCCGGGGGCTTTGCGGAAAGCGCACGCGTGTCCGGAGGTGGAGCGCACGGGGCATCGTCCCCGTCCGCCGGTGACCGAATTGGGAGTGGAGTTTACGCTGCCCGTCCGCAGAAACCGGTGGAGACGCGGGACTCGGAAGCCCCACGTTGGCTGTGGGGCCAGGCCCGGGGGCAGCCTGTGGGTGGGGTTGTGCACAGGGGGTCCGGGCCCCTGTCCTCGCCGAGCCGGGACAGGGGGGTGGCTCCGTCCCACGAGGCACGTGGACTCACGGCCCCTTCCCCTGTCTGTCTCCCGTCCCCAGTTTGGCCTTGGAAGAACGCTGCCCTTCCTCGGAAGGAGGAGGAGGAAGATGACCAGGCTCCGGGTGAGTCGGGTTTGCCTCCCGTCCCGAGGACGGCCCCTTGCTCGAGGCTGGAAGCCGTCTTCCCCCGGTTCGGGAAGCAGGAGGGGGACCAGAGGCACTGGAGGCCGATGCAGGCTTCTGCCTTGATTTCCAAAGATGGAGTAAAACCTGCCCCGTGGGGAGGGAGAGGGCAGCTGGCCTGGCTGCGAAGCCGCCGGCTCCCGGGCCGATACCCGGGGCCAGTCCCCGCTCCCTGCTGATGTGGGCCCGGGGCGGCTGTGACCGAGCGCCCACGTGGAGGACTTGGAGCTCCAGTCCCGGCCGTCGGGAGGGTGAACCAGTGAAGGGTAACTGGCTCCCTCTGTCCATCTGTTTCTAAGATCAATTTAATAAGAAAAAGGAACTAAATTTTTTCTCTAAATGAAAAACCACCCCTCCATGTAAACGTGTTCACAAGCCATTTGCAATAGCAAGGTGTTTTTGATTTGACGTTTGATTGACATTTTCAATGGGACATCATTTCCATAGTTTGCCTGATCTTTTTCCTCATTTTCCATATTTCTGTGGTTTATGAATCTTGCCATTTTAAAGGCATTGCCAGTGCATTTTTCCTACATGCAACTTCTCTGAGGATTTGACCCTTTTTTTTTTTTTTTTTTTTTTTTGACAGGCAGAGTGGACAGTAAGAGAAAGAGACAGAAAGAAAGGTCTTCCTTTGCCGTTGGTTCACCCTCCAATGGCCTCCATGGCTGGCGCGCTGATCTGATGGCAGGAGCCAGGTGCTTCTCCTGGTCTCCCATGGGATGCAGGGCCCAAGCACCTGGGCCATCCTCCACTGCACTCCCGGGCCACAGCAGAGAGCTGGCCTGGAAGAGGGGCAACCGGGACAGAATCCGGCACCCCGACCGGGACTAGAACCCGGTGTGCCGGCGCCGCTAGGCGGAGGATTAGCCTAGTGAGCCGCGGCGCCGGCTGCTTTGACCATTTTTGTCCTTAATGTCGCGGCCTCTCTGTGTGGCGAGAGTGAGGTGTGACCTGATGAGGTCGGATCCAGCTGGGCTGAATTCAGAGGGAACTGGAGTTTTCAGTCAAGAGCTAGATTTTTAAATTGTAAGGTCAGCATCCATGTGTTATGTTTTATTAACATGTTAGTATTTTTTAAAAGTACTACATAGTTTTAAAAATCTGAGAAATCAGAGTGGGTAAAGCAGCTGCCTGCAGTGCTGGCATCCCACACGGGTGCCGGTTCCAGTCCCGGCTGCTCCTCTTCCGATCCAGCTCTCTGCTGTGGCCTGGGAAAGCAGTAGATGGCCCAACTCCTTGACCCCTGCACCCGCGTGGGAGACCTGCAAGAAATTCCTGGCTTTGGGTTGGCGCAGCTCTGGCCATTGCGGCCACTGGGGGAGTGAACCAGCAGATGGATGACGTCCCTCTCTCTCTCTCTTTTTTTTTTTTTTTTAAATCTGATAGCCCCAGAGTCTTGCCAAGTATTTACTCTATGTGATGGCACCCAAGTGAGGATTGAGATGGTTTTAGCTATGGATGGATTTTTTTTTCCTTAAAGATTTATTTATTTGAAACAGTTATACAGAGAGAGGAGAGGCAGAGAGAGAGAGAGACAGAGGTCTTTCATCTGCTGGTTCACTCTCCAATTGGCTACAACAGCTAGAGCTGGGCTGACCCGAAGCCAGGAGCCAGGGGCTTCTTCTGGGTCTCCCACATGGGTGCAGGGGCCCAAGGACTTGGTCCATGCTCCACTGCTTTCCCAGGCCACAGCAGAGAGCTGGATGGGAAGTGGAGCGGCCGGGACTCGAACCAGCGCCCACATGGGATGCCAGTGCTCCAGGCTGGGTGGGGCTTTACTCACTATGCCACACGCCGGCCGGCTTACCGTTGTTGATGGGAATCTTTCTTGATGCATGTTGTGCTCCAGTCAGGTTGAGTAAAGGGATCGCACATGCAGTATTCGGGGGATATGATCTCGTAACATTTTTAAATTTGAGCAGCAGACAGCCTCAGAGAGCTCTGACCTGCTGGTTCACTCCCCAAGTGCCCAGACCAGGGCCGGGAACACAGTCCAGGTCTCCCTCCGGAGTTTCGGGAACAGTTACTGCGCCATCACCGCTGCCTCCCAGGATCCGCGCTGGTGGGAAGTGGAGTCGGGGGCTAGAGCTGGGAACTGAACTCGGGTACTCTGGTGTGCGATGTGGGCATCGTAACCTTGGGCTAAACGCTTGCTCCATGGTCTCTTAAAAAATAAGCCAAGTAAGGTAATGTCCACTAGTAATCTCCTATCAGAAGAGTTGGGAAAATTGCCAAGATATTAGTAAATAAGAGTGAACTTGACAGTGCAGGTGGCCTCTCTGGGGACTCGGCCAACTTGTCAGGTTATCTCCTGGCAGAAGGTAAGTATTTTTTGCAGCTCTGACTTTAACCTTTAAGTGATCAAACTGCACATCACTTGCCGTGGTTAAACACAGGTCATCGCTTCCGTGGAGTCGGCCAGAGTGGGCTGAAGTTGAGGACGCGCTCGGCGGCATTCAGTGAGCAGCCGCTACGTGAGGCACTGGGAAAAGTCCTCAAGAGGG